GGTATAGCCATTGATTTGGGTTTACCATTTAAAGGGGATTCTTTAGAGAGATCCTGACATGCTCTTGAGGTAATCAGCCCTTTATATCATTCTAGGGGATACAGCCAGCTGCAAGCACAGAAGGGTTATTTTGCTTTTGACTATTACAGAATGCAACGATATCTCTTCCAATTAGTATCTATTTAGTTCTCCTTTTCTCATTCTTGATGATGCTACACATCTTCATATGTACTCACCCTATGTGAGCTATTAGTTGAGAAGCTACATATAATTAATATCTGGCTTTCCCAAATTTCACATGCATTTACAGCCAAATGTTGGGACTCAAGCAGATCCAAGGTCACTGCTCTTTCTTGAAACAATTTTTGGACATAAATGTGGATGTGAGATGAAATGCCAAATCCTCTCCTTCATTGCTAGGATCTTAGAATTCAGAAAGATCTGGGCTAATGTCTTAATTAGTGGGGACCAGTATTCCCTCTAAGCTGTGGAACAACACAGCTTCACAGGTGATTAATCAGCTCCACCTAGTCAGACGCTCAGGGCTCCCTGCATGGAGCTGACTGACTTGGTTGGGGCTGATTAATCACCTGTGAAGCTGTGCTGCTTAGCGGGAACACTGGTGGGGACTACCTCGTCCAGCCAAATACAATGCTTCCATCAATGTAGCTCAGGGGTTCCCAACCTTTTCCAGATGGGGACCCATTTTGACAATTCAGGAAGACGTGGTGACCCAGGGCAATTCAAAAAAAATGTGTGTGAATAGCTCCTTAAGAGCCACCTGGCAACTCTTTTGAAATGTAATGGCAACCCATATTTGTGTCCCAACCCATAGGTTGGGAAACCCTGATATAGCTAGTGCTACTGTTGCTCAGTGAGATGATGGTCTTACAGCTCATTTCGGTCACCGTAGCCTGCATCTATATGATGGGGTTATGCTGGCATAGCTATACTGACGTTGCTAAGCCACTATAGTTCCCATAGTGTAACCATGGCGGTACCCTCTTGGGAGTTCTAGAACCAACAGCCCATTTACAACAACACAGAACAGCCCATTTACAACAGGACATGACTGATTAGTTACACCTGGAACACAGTGTGTAGGAACATTAGAACAGAATGGTAAAGCAAAGCCTCTATGCACATAGCTTCCCTGGGCTGAATCTCTGCACAGAGAATCAGAAATCTTACCACTGTCTGCTCAGACTTCTGTTCTTTGGCTCTAGTACCAATCATGCTGTTTTCACAAGTAGTACCCGTTGGCCAGCAGTTGTCCAGTCAATGGTCCAATCACTGGTCTCTGTTCACATACTGAACAGTTCTTAATAGACTACTCATACTGACTCTGACATGCCTACTATCTCACTACCAGACACTTCCCTGTTTATATGCTGTACTTACACATACTTTGCATAAAAATAGCAATATCCTACATTCTCCACAGTAACTCATTGAAATGGCCCAATTTGGTATCTTACTATTGTAAGCTATTTTGCTTTCACATGCTGATGTATTTTACTTGAAAGTCTTCTAAAACTTATAGTATATATGTTGGGGTAACAGGGAACCATCCCCGCCTGATTCATTTACAGTTGGTTTATTGTGGTACAAAATAGAGTGGCTACACAGCAAAAGTGCATCAAAAAAGAGATCTGCTTTTTCAAAAGATAGCATCCATTCAGTGTGGACTCTATCTCACATTTAAGCTGTGATTACTATGGTCAGAGTGGTCACCAGGGCACTTGTGCTTTTTCATCTTTCCTATTCTTTTGAAAGAACTCCCTCTTCCCGTCCACACATGCCTTTTACTGAAAGAGCTCTTTCGGAAAAAGGCTTCTGCTTCATAGAAAGAGATAATAACAGTGATAACTACAAACTCTATTCACTACCCAAAACAACTACAACACTAAGCTTATACAACAAGAAAAAAAATCAAATCATACATACCAACTTACACAGCACACGGAACATTTCACAGATATCGGTTCGGTTGCGAAGGCCTTGGTTACGCCCGAGAGTCGGGGGAGGTGGCTGGTCGGTTGATCAGGCCGGCAGCGCTTTGAAGTATACAAGAAGGCACACACACAGTGGTACGTGTGTTGCGAAGACCTTCTAGAGCGAACTGTGCAATGGGTATTTATCCCCAAATCTGCACATCACTTTCCTGCGCTTGCATATTACCATATATGGCCAAATGGTCACCAAGCGGGGGGGTCTGTGTCCCAGGGGTCGAAACTGTGCAGGTTTCATGCGACCAGGTAAGCCCCGCAGTTCTCACGCCAAGGTGACTGGTGGGAGAGTCTGAGGCTATTTTCCCCTTTTCACACCTTCCCTTTTTCTAAAGGCAATGGTATGCAGGAAGGGTGCGGCTGGTTTCTTCCAAGGAGTACTACAGCCCACTAGAGCAAGAGCGGCCTGGCCAAACTTTTTTACTGGGGGTGGCAGTTTCTTTTCTCTAACAGTACAATGGTGAAGTAACAGCCTTTCATTCATCTTTTGAACTAAATCCAAAGTGTAAGACATCAGACACCCAAAGTGAGCTATATCTAAGCACAGGGATTGATGGACAAAGACTAGAGTGATGTTCATTAATAGCTTCTTGGTTTACAAAAAAGAGGAGGTAGGAGGAGAATGTGACTTTAGGGTGGCATTTCCCAAGAGTGACTAAAACAGCCAGGCACCCAACCCCTTTGAAAGTCACATATCTCTAGTTACTTTTGGAAGTCTCACCCTGAAAGAATACTTAATTTAAAAAAATCAAAATCACCGAATGAACACCACAACTGTACATCAGTAGCATGGAAATGCTTATCTGTGTCACAAGGGGTATAGGAGATTAATCAATATTTTTCCAACACTCTGAAAATAATGGAAGGGTTTTTTCATTTTTAGTCTTAGATTAAATAAGAAAATCTTAGTACTTGGCAGATATTCTTCAAATTCTGGTTCTCAATGTTGAACTACTTGCATGATTACAAAACGTGTTCTGGTGACATTTCAGAAGCACCATTTTATATAGCTGTCATGATTACAAAGTTGTTCCATGTCTAAACTTGTAGAAGTAGAAAAACTGCAATTATGAAGTTGGAAATGCATAATTTAAGTTTAACAAAATAAGTTGCTATAGATATGTGGAAAAACAAGTTATTTCTAAAAGCAATTTCAGGGAATGAAAGACAGTAACTTGCCAACCACAAACATACTACCTAATGAGAAACTGTGTGCTCCACTTGGAGGCACATTAGTTTTCTTCAGAAAATAAGTCAATTATAGAAGAGTACATTGGTGATCTCTACTTACATGCTGGATCCTTATCAAGTCCTTGTCAAGAAATGATAAATCACTGAAGCATATTATAATGTGGTATCTCTGTGTGTTCTGCAGAGTCCTTCATAATGTTTAATGTAGAAAGGTTAACTATTAATTGCAAAATAATTGTTTGGAATTATTCCCTCTTAAAAAAAAAAAAAAGACAGACTATGCATTTCCCTCCCTTGGATAATTGAAATGTTACCATTGGCTACTGACATTGAGAACTTGCTGGTATTTGGGGAGAATGGGCCAATGTAATATTCACACAATTGTTTGGTGCTTATTCATCCACAGCTCAGAAGTATTTGTTGTTCCTGAAGGCAGCATAAACTGCTCAGAGAATAAAGCAGGGTTTCAGAAAACTCATTAACAAATTGGTTAAACAACCTCAGCATGAGGCAAATTACCCAAAGTTGTCACCTTGACTGAGCAACAGGAAAGCACTAAGTACTAGGTATTAGTGCAGTTTTCCACTCTGATTTAGCTTCATAAGTACCCTAGAACTATATTTTATTGCAATCAAGCACAAATTTAAGAAAGAAAAAAACCTAAGAAGTAGCCATCCAAAACCTCACTGAATTTACTCACTGAGCTTTGACTTAATCTCTTTAAAGTTGCTGTGGGATACATGCAAACAGTTTTTAGTTCATTGCTTGTGCAACAATGCCTCCCCCCACTCCCTATCTTGCTGACACACTCCCTGATGAGAGCTTGATATGTATTTGTTCACATTAATGGCTAGTGCAGAGCGGAAGAACACAAAAGTGTGTGCTATAAGGAGGGGGTGGGAATAATGAAAAAAACATGATTTGTTTATTTGAGTATCCAGCATAGAGATTAACAGCCTCACCTGATAAGCAATTAAAAAAAGCTTTATATTTATTTTGAAATGAAAGTAATTTTATACTTTTAAAAACCGTCATTGTTTTGGTAGGGAGCAGAGAGAGAAGGAAAAAAAAAGTAACTGCAATCTGGAGGAAAGAAAGTTGCTAGGATTTGAAGTGACCTCCTGGCTCTGTTGGCATACCAACTAAAGAGCTGTTCACTTGTGTAACTGACTTCTATAGCTGCCACAGAGTTAATCCCTAGGGCTTTGTTTCCAATTGATTCATTTATTCCCTACCCTCATAGTTGAGGTATCATGGTTACATCCCCTATTCAGATTGATAAGACAAAGGGTTTTGACCAATTTTGCCGGTCAGCAGCTGAATATTTTACCCCATTTACTTTTCATATAATTCAGTATTTAAACTTGGCCTAATTTTTCCCCTGAGCGGGCTACCTCATTTTCTACAAAACATTTGTATAGCTGGTGGAAGGGGGTTGTAATTATCGCCTTGCCAATGCTTCAAGGCTCCAATGTGGGGTTATTCTCAAAACCCAAGAATGCAGATTGGAAAACAAGGAAGTACCAGAAGTAACCAAACCAAATACTGCCTCAGATTTTGTCTTGCACAATAAATAAACTACATATTTTCCATGTTTTATTTAAGATTGCAGTGTAACAAAGCACTTTTCACAACTAAGGTGTTCAGAAAATTTTACAATAGTTTTCTAGTTTGAAATTTTTAAAAAACAACTCTTCTCTCTATACTTACTGCAGTAAATCTGGCTTTATAGCAAACAACAGAAATATTGAAGAGCTGTATTTTTCAACCAAAAATTTCTAACTATAAATCAAACAGTTCACATCAGGAGAAAATGCAGCAGTACAAAACATCTCTTTTAGGCATCTTCACATCCTCCTCTTCTGTGTGCTTATATACAGAACTGTAGAAAGGAAAAAGTGAAACATGTTAGAGAATTCCAGTACATAAGGTATCGTGGTTGCCCTATCCATTAAATCAAGAAATCAGAAAATGCAGGAGTTGTAATTCAACAGCAATATTTACTAAGTCAAACTACTTAGATGTAAAAAAACAAATGGTCTGGTAGCACTTTATAGACTAACAAAACATGTAGTAATTTCTAATTCAGTTTTCCTTGTTGAACACAGTTTAATATATTATTTTGTCAAATTGTGCACCATAACAGATAGCGTGTGTACAGATGGATTCTATAATTGTTCCTAAAACCTTTTGCACTGGAACTGCCTTCTGTGATGCCGAGGAGAGTACAACTAGATTTTCAGGTGGCTTGGATTAAGGATGTCAGAAATAACAGTCCTGATCTGACAACAAATGGATTCAGGATCCTTACTCCTTTTCATTTAAAACTTGTGTCAGAACTAACAGTAACTAATGAAAAAAAAAACAACAAATGGTGTGGAGACCATTTTATAAACTAACAAAACATGTAGATGGTATCATGAGCTTTCGTGGGCACAGCCACTTCTTCAGATGACCAGAGTTATGAGTTTAGGATGCCAAAATAAATAGAAAAGAGGGAGGGAAGGAGTGAGGGAAGAAAAAGGGAGGGAGGTAGGAGACAGAAAGCATCAGTAAATATCTGAAGATTGGGTAGTTAAACTGAAGCAGATAAAAATCAAAGTTAGCCTGTACATTCTACTTACTGAGCCACTTCAGGGTGTCTTGTGAAGAAGGGCTTCCCTCAAGTTTTAAAGAAGGGGTCTCCTCTGGGGCACAAGACTACATAATAATTGGATCTTGGGTGCCCAGAGTGTGAAATATTTCAGAACTAGAATATCCTTAATTAAAATATGTTTTGTTTTTCTTCATTTAAATAATTGTTCTGGGATGGGGATGAGGGGTTCAGCATGCAGGCTGGCCAAGGAGGGAGGACAATCCTAACCCTCTCTCATCACAGCAGGTTGGGGCCCAGTATGAAGCACTTGTCCAAGGCTGCTGCAGCAGACACAGCCGAGTGAGGGATGCAGTCCCCCAACTGGGGGACAGAGACACACACAGATAAACAGACATACAAACTCTCTGAAATATATAGTAGATAGTTGTCCCTTTCTCTATCATCTTCTACATGCTGGCCCTATAGAGTTATAGCTGTCCTGGTCCCCATCTCAGGACCCTTGCTATCCCCCAATGGTTATAATGCAGTATAACTGTCCATCCTGCCAGACCCTCCCTTTCCATTTTATGAAAAACAATCGAATTCCAGGTATGTCCCATTGTCCTGGCACGCCTAAACCGTTATCTTGCTTTAAGTTATGATAAGAAGCAGCTGCATACTAGGGATGTCAATTTATAAACGACAACACAATTAACTGATAAGCCTTATCTAATAGAGAGGCACCAGCGTGGAGGGTTAGGGGGCAGGCAAGAGCAGATACGTGCGGTAAGTTGGCTTTTGTGCCAGCTCCATGGCTCCGCCTACCCCCTTCCTGAAGCCTCCTACAGAGGGCTGCCAGCCTGTTTCTGGGGTTTATCGAATAGTCACGTAACCTCTAAAATGTAATGCAGTTATATGACCATTCAATTACACGTCATCTAATATCCCTACTATATACCAAATGTGGTGGTTCTAGCTCTTACCATTTAGGAGTTCTTGAACAAATGGACTCACAGATGGACACAGACAGACAGATGCACATTTCTAAAATACTCTTATTTCCAAGTCTTTAAAAAAGGGGAGAGGAGAATAAAATGGGGGCAAAATCCCCTTGACCTTATTTGCTTCTCCAACTTCAACTTACCAATTCAAATTCCATAAGAAATGTCCACAACCACCTCCCAAACGCTTTCTGGCATTTCCTGATATCAGGGTGAAAGGTATGCCTATATTACAAATACCTCCAGATCAAGGGGTTAGGTTATACTACCATTATCTCTCAATACAGTTAAAGATGGGCCATTTTGTGCTGGAGATAGAATCTTAACCATCCTTGAACCACACCACAACTTATATGTCTAGATACTTATTCTCCAGCTATTTCCATGGTAGTTGAACCTTGGAAAGTCTCATTATAATGTATCATAGGTCAGTGTTAATTACTGCAATCTTATTTAATGAGAGTGAAGTCTTCACTTGTAAGCATAGTTTTAAATATTCTGTTTTGGACAACCAAACAATGAGCATATATTATAGTACTATCAACACCCACAGCACCCATATAAATGCACAATTCTTTAAAGAGCAAGATATGGTTAGCTCTTGTAGCCTGTTAAGAAAAAAAATCTTGTATGAAATTCTGTTAGGTAATTAAGATTTGTATTCTTAGATAAGTCCAAAATGATTTTGTTAATGCCATCCACAGAAGAAATTCAATTAATCTGTGTATTTATTGCTGTATTCTTTGTAATATTCGTTATAGTGATTCCCGTGGCAATAAAGCTTATTTTAATTGCATTTCTTGATTTGAAGTGTGACTGTCACTCAGCACCTGCAGACCCTCCTCCAGAGGGAGAATCTTATCATTCCACCAGCTTGTAACCTGGGTTAGGGAGGACGAACTTAGAATCTCTGATCAGATTGGCGAACTTTACCCACCTAAATTCCACCACAAGTCCTACTCAGGCTACACTCTGTGAAGCAAGAAACACCATGATAGGCAAGACAAACAGTTCAGGAAAATGTCAGTGGATAGCTGACTAACATAAGAAAGTGTCATGTGATCAACAATGAGATTAATATGCTTTAAGGAAGGGATAGAAAAGAGAGGGTGTTTGGTTAAAAAAAACAGAGCTAGGAGAAGGAATCATAGGGATCAATAAGGAAGAGCACAGAACTGTAATAGCAGCAGAAAATGAGATGGTAGAAAAGATTATGTAAGGCCTCTATTGACCAGCAGTCACCTACATGTTTTCATACATGCTTCAAAATCAAAATTCAATGCCAAAACCAATTTCTTAATCAAGAGAATTGCAAGAGGGTGAGTTACCATTATTTCCTCGAATAAACGCATCCCCATATTTGTTCTTTAATTGACCATTTACGTATTCTTCTGTTTGCTCCAGAGCTATGTTCATATACCCATCTAGACAAGCCAGGACACCTGAAGACAAGTTTAAAAAAATTAAAAATATTCTATAAAACAGATTAGATTTCAGAAATAAAAGTAAACAAATCTGAAAGTCTTTTATTCTTTAGATAATAAAAATCAAACCTTTCTTAAACTGTTCTGATTAACTGAAGCATACAGTCTCCTCTAAGCCAATTAGAAACAGGTCAACAATGGTACAATGAAAAACTGTCACCATATCCACATCATCCATCAGGTAACGATTAAATCTTCATCAATTGCTCCGTAAATGAAATATAAAGCCTCTTTTATTGCTTGTGATAAAACAGAACTTTGACACAAGATCAATGGCTTCTGCTTTAAAAGTTGAAATGGTGTAATTCATTTATGTATTATCAAGAGATGAGTGTCCCCTAATATTCTACAGAAGAGCCCCATGCATTAGAAATGAACTGGGTACACTGAATTTAACTGGAAAAAGGAATGGAAAGTCTGTATAAAAGAGGCTGAGTTTTTTTTATCTAAATGACATGTCAGGAACATAGTAGAGTCATGGTGTTTAAGGCCAGAAGGGCTGACCAGATTATCTAGTTTGAACTCCTATATATCATAGGCCACCAACACTAGGCACTAAACTAAACAACTGAAATTAGATGAAAGTATTATAGACCATAGGAGACTATACTATTATGTGCCACAGACAGAGAACAGAAGGGTCTGAGACACACCAGAGTCCAGGGTCTCCCACAATGACAGGGAAATGATTAAGTGAGATATATCCAGATAATCGTGGCAAATGATCCACAACCACATGCTGCAAAGGAAGACAAAAAGCCTCCAAAGTCACTGCCAATCTGACCTAGGGAAAATTCCTCAACTCCTCAAATAGTGATCAGTTCCACCAGCATTCTTCACTATTTTTGAAGTGGGAGCCACTTTGGCAAAAAACCTTCAATGTGAGAGCCACATTCTGAAAGCCCCACCCTGTTCACTCCATCCCCCCCCCCATTTTCAACAGGCACGGGATTAGGGTTCAGGACGGGGTGCAGGCTCTGGGCTGGGGACAAGTGGTTTGCAGTGTACAAGAAGGCTCTGAGCTGAGCTTGTGGCAAGGGATTGGGGAGCAGGAGGCGGTACGAGGGGCTGGCTCTGGGAGGGGGCTCAGAACTGGGGCAGGGGCTTGGGATGAAGGAGGGGACTTGGGGTGCAGAAGTGTGTGGGCACTTCAGACAGCCCTGGCCCCATGCCGCTCCTTCAAGGAGCCAACAAATCCCTGGGCAGTCACGTGGCTCTACATGCCACCCCTTTCTGCAGGCACTGCCCCACAACTGCATGAGCATGAATGTATGATGAATTGCTTGTGATAAGGGCTCATTTTCAGTTTATTTTCCTAAAAGCTCGTGCTTTAAAGTTACAGGCAGCTGCCTGTAGGCATCAGGAAGGAATTTATACCCCCCCCCCCCATATCTTCAATGGGAACTGGGGAGGACGATGCTTGCAGTCAGGATCAGTGCAAGGAGACCTCTGCTCCCCTCCTCTCTCTCCTTGATGCTGTGAGAGCCTGTTGGCCAATTGCAGGAGTGGCATAGGTTTCAGGGCAGACAGAGAGCCCATCTTAGAGGCATCCCCACTACACCTCTAGAGATCACCAGAGATTGTGATCAACAGGGAGCTGCACTTTGGGACCATGGAAGCCACCACCAGCTTGCAGGCGCCTTGCAGTAATTTAGACCCTACGTAGATAAGCAAAAACCAGCCATCCAAGGACCAGAGAGTAAGCATGCTCACTGCCATCTCAGAGCCCTGGTTCCCCCATTCGATGTCCCATTTCCAGCCATGCTCATCCTTAATGCACAAGACAAAGGAGATTTTAAAACAACAACAAAACAACAAACAAAAGATATGGGGTACAAGGGGATGTGAATCCCTTCCTGACTCCTGCAAGTAGCTGGCTAAAATCTTGAAGCATGAGTTTTTAGGAACAAACTGGAAATGAGCCCCAAGGACTTTTGGGCTTTGACCCCTAGAATCATAAGCAAACCTTGTCATACAATCACACCCACAAATGTATCCAGCTCTTTCTTAAAACTCATTTAAGTCATTTGCCCTCACAACCTTGATGGGCAGGTTGATCTAAAACCTCATTCCCCTGATAGTAAAAACCTTCTTTAATTTCCAGACCCAAATTTGTTCACAGCCAGTTTGTTCTTGTGCCAACATCCACAGATTTCTAAGGGACCAGAAAGGACCATTTGTGACCATCTAGTCTGTTCTGCTGTAGAATACAGGCCATAAAGCTTTCCCACAATAATTCCTAGAACAGATCTTTTAGAACATCTTCATTTAAAAATTGTCAGTGACAGAGACTCCGCCATACCCCCTAGTAAAGTGTTTCAAAGGTTAATTGCTACTGAACTGAAAATGTATACTTTATTTCCATCTGAATTTGCCCAATTTCAACTTCCAGTCATGGGATTATATTTTTTCTGATAGATTGAAAAGCCCATTATTAAATATTTGCTCCCCATGTAGGTCCTTATAGACCTGGGGTTGGCAACCTTTCAGAAGTGGCGTGACAAGATTTAACGTATTCACATCTATTTAAGGATCTGTATGCTAGGCAGAAGCAGGAAGGGGGAGGGGGGGAATGGCAGACTGGCTACAGTGCCTACATATTCTGAACCAGCTGCAGCTCAGGCACTCCAGCCCCATGGGGCAAGAGGAAGGGACAGGGAAGACTGAGGTTCAGGGCTTCCCACAGGCCAGATTTACTTTTCTGGGTTTCTAGAGTTAGTGGATCTTATGGACCCCCTTAGCCTCTGGAGTGGGGACAAAAATGAGGGGGTCAGTGTGTGGGACAGCTCTGCCAGAGTGTGGGATAGGTATGGGGTGCAGGATCTGGGTGGGAGGTGGGGTGCAGAAGGGGGAGAGGTTGTGAGGCCTGGGTGAGTGGCAGGGTGCAGAAGCAGGCTGGGAGTAGGGTGTCTGGCCAGGTGGAGAGATCAGGAGCAAGGGAGGGTGCAGTGTGTGGCCAAAAGGGATGGTGCAGGAGCAACAGTGAATGCAGGAGCATGGTGGGAGTAGGAGTCTGGTTGGGGGGGGGGGGAGATACAGGAGCAAGGGAGGGCGCAGGAGCAGGCTGGGGGTAGGTCTGGCCAGGAGAGAGAGTGCAGGAGGGGCCTTGGGGTAGGGTGTCTGTCCAGGAAGGAGGGTATCGGAGCAAGTTGGGGGTACAGGGTCTTAGCGAGGGGAGGGGAGTGAGTGAGGGGGAGTGTGGAGGTCTGGGCATGAGGGAGGACACTCACCTGGCTTCGTGCTCCTTACAGCCGGGAAAGCCTCCGGACAGTGTGCTGCTGTTCACCAAGTGGAGTAAGAAGGGGGAGGGAGCTCAGCTTCCCCACCCTCCACACAGCAGGGCTGCCAGCACAGTGTGTGTGTGGTGGGGGGAGGGTGGTGGGGAGAAGAAACCCAGACTTTCCCCACCAGACCCAGTTTGGTACTGCTACCCCAGCAGGTGGGCAGGGGGAGGGAGTTCTCTCCCGCCCCCCAGCAGTAAGGAAGGTGGAGGGGGGAGAGAGAAGCAGCGCAAGGAGCGCACCTGCCGAGCTCAAGTACACCCTGCCCTACAGTGCGGGGGAACACATTTTCCTACAAGTGGGTTTTTCCCCCTTCTCTTTCCACACAAATAGGAAAAACTGATGATTACACACAAAGCACTGTTAATTACATGAAATAAACAAAATGAAAGGCTTCCCTCCCCTGTAGTCAGCTTAAGTCTCACTTGTCTCATTTTTTTGCCTACTATTGTTAAAAATAATTTCTGAGATTACTATAATAGGGTATGTCTACACTATCCCGCTAGTTCGAACTAGCGGGGGTAATGTAGTCATCCGCAGTTGCAAATGAAGCCCGGGATTTGAATTTCCCGGGCTTCATTTGCATGAAGCGGGCCGGCGCCATTTTTAAATGCTGTCTAGTTCGGACTCCGTGCCGCGCGGCTACACGCAGCACAGACTAGCTAGTTCGGATTAGGCTTCTAATCCGAACTAGCTGTACACCTCATTCCACGAGGCGTACAGCTAGTTCGGATTAGAAGCCTAATCCGAACTAGCTAGTCTGTGCTGCGTGTAGCCGCGCGGCACGGAGTCCGAACTAGACAGCATTTAAAAATGGCGCCGGCCCGCTTCATGCAAATGAAGCCCGGGAAATTCAAATCCCGGGCTTCATTTGCAACTGCGGATGACTACATTACCCCCGCTAGTTCGAACTAGCGGGATAGTGTAGACATACCCTATTATAGTAATCTCAGAAATTATTTTTAACAATAGTAGGCAAAAAAATGAGACAAGTGAGACTTAAGCTGACTACAAACCTTTTCAAAATATCACTCAGTATGCTTCAAATGGCTGTATTTTCACAACCTTTTTTGTTCCTAGTGTACATTTATGCTTATTTTTCATTCTCTCTTCTTCCCCTTTGTATTTTTCCACTCTACTAATATAACTTGACATTAAATGTTATGTTTTTCTAAACTATGTATATTTTAAATGTATATACACACACAGGCATTCAATGTAATATAGTTTGTGCTTTTTTATGGCTTCTCTTAAATGTGGCTTTCACTTAGCATAGAATTGAGGCATTTTACAATTACACAATCATATCTGCATTAGGTGACATTTAGCAAAAAAGTACAACTAGCAACATTACCTAGAAACTGAAGTAGATACATTTGTCGACAAATTTGTAACAAGAGTCTGGAATCCTTTCTGAACAAAAAGCTTTTAAAAATGTTTTAAGGAGTTTCACAAATGCAGTTTACATACAGTTTCATGTGCAGGTTGAATCTCTCTAGTTTGGCACTCTCTGGTCTGGCATTTTAGTTAGCTGGATGTCCTTTTTATCAGGGGTGTGGCAAAGTTTCCTGCAGTCCCATAAAGCAATCAGACCTGGCTCTCAGTGTTAGGTACAGTTAGTTAGCTAGCTCTAATTTACCCCTAAATGTCTTCTAACATCCCAGTGAGCAGTGGAAGTGTTTGTCATGCTGCTAGATAATTCTGGCCTCCTGTGGTTCAGCAAACTCTTTGGTTCAGCACCAATCAGGTCCCAAGGGCGCCAGATTAGAGAGGTTCAACCTGTATTATTAAAAATTCTTAAGTAAATTTCCCTCACCACAGCACATTCACTATTCTCTCAAACAGTGTAAAGTAAAGTGAGCTGAATTATACCCATGTGAAAATGGGTGTGATCGGTATCTGGCCCATAATATTTATATATTTAAAACACCCAGAAAAATACTTTGGAAGTGTGACGGGATGTGGAATGTAGAGGAGGGAGTTGAAATACATAATTTAATGTTATACAGTATTTTCTGACCCTCAACAGTCTCCTCTTCTTCACTGAAAGAAAGCAGTGCGGTATAACCCTCAGGTGACATTGCTTAAAAAAAGCAAATAGGGAGCCTTCTATTCTGGTAGCAGTCATACAGTGACATTATACCTGTAAGAGAAAATTCTCCTTGATAATGCTATGAGAGGATAGGTTCATGACTAATTTGGATTTTCAAAAACATGTAACTGATATAAGGAGCAAGAATCTCACAGAGCCATTGGAATTGTTGCTCCTATATTACTTAGCAATTTTTTAAAATTCTGTCCCTAAAGCCTCAATCCAATGGTTGAACATATGCATAATTCAAACCCACAAATTGAGGATCTGAAATGTCCATGCTAGGAGCCTACACTGCTTCTTTCGAGACCACTAACTTGCACAAATTGTTTTAATCAAAAACCCAAGTTTTTTTCCATCAATTTCTCCAGACTTCTTTATTTTTAACGTTATGCCACCCTCTCTCAAATCTAAAATTGGATATCAAAACACTTCATATCATGACAATACTAACTGGGATCCCCAGTTTAAGATCTCCAACCAAAATTCTCTCTGGAGAATATGTAAATCACTAAGAGAAACAAAAAAGCAAATTGAAAGAGCCAGACGAATACCTAGAAACCATCTACTTCAAGACAGACCCAAGAAAACCAACAATAGAACACCACTTGTCATCACCTACAACCCCCAACTTAAACCTGTCCAACACATTATCAATAAACTACAGCCTATATTGGAACAGGATACCATACTCAAAGAGGCTCTGGGAGACAGACCCATAGTCTCCTATAGACAACCACCTAACCTCAAGATGATTCTTACCAACCACCACAGGACATACCACACTAATACCAACCCTGGTACCTTCCCTTGCAACAAACCCCGTTGCCAGCTTTGTCCACATATTCATTCTGCTGATACCATTATTGGACCTAACCAAGTGAGTTATAAGATCAAGAACACATATTCCTGCGCATCCAGAAATATAATCTACGCTATCATGTGCCGAAAGTGTCCGTCTGCTATGTACATTGGACAAACATCTCAGACACTTCGCCAAAGGATTAATGCCCACAAAACAGATATCAGACAAGATCACAAAGAGAAAACAGTTTCTTGCCACTTTAACCAGAAAGGACACTCTCTAAATGACTTAGCCACCTGCATTCTGCTACAAAGACCTTTTACATCTGCACTTGAAAGGGAATCCTCTGAACTGTCATTCATGTTAAAATTCGACACTTACCACCAGGGACTTAACAAGTCTTTGAACTTTCTCACCCATTATCAAGACAGTTTCCCCAATTATCACCTGTAATACCATTAACTCACAAACATCCCACTCTCCCTACCTCTAATATCATCAATTCACAGACACTTACCTTCCTTCCTCCCCCTTCCCACCCCCCCGCCTCCTCCTTCTGTTCTGCAATGTGATTTGTCCTTTTCATATTTGTTCTTTTTTTTAATTGTATCCTTTGGTATATATGGTTGTGACTACTTTCTTCCACTATTTGATCTGAGGAAGTGGGTCTGGCCCACGAAAGCTCATCATCTAATAAACCATCTTGTTAGTCTTTAAAGTGCTACATTGTCCTGCATTTTGCTTCAACTACCCCAGACTAACACGGCTACATTTCTATCACTAAAATGAATGAGTCACTTTGGGGCCACAGGATACAGAAGTTGCACCAGTCACAAAAACAAGCCTGAAAATCCTTCTCATGCTATTACTGCTATAGCAATAATTCCTGATTATTATCATAAGCCACCATATGAACACAGCCTCACAGAACAGATACAGGTACCAAGAAATTAACAGTCCTACGAAGTTTTCTTGCTTTTATTAGTTATGGGTCTGTCATTGTTCTAAAGCATTGTATTTATCCCTTTATCCCCAAAAAGTGGTAATTATAGACATTATTCATTACGGAAGAGAGTTAGGAGAACTTACCTCGATAATCAACTCCAGAATTTAACTTTACAACAACAGGTCTTCCTATAATTTGTTTTAAGAAATCGCTAGGGGTTTGCTTTCGTAGACTCATTGTGATGGTCCTGATAGGCTGAGAGAGAAAGATATATTAGATAAATAACTCAAATATACATCTTAAAATGTATATTCAATGCATTCAGTAGGGAAAAAATATCGAAGTGGATAAAAGAGGACAGATTCAAAACTGCAGTTCCACAGCCATAGTATGAAACATTCAATGTAACTTTTCTGCAGTTTCTGAAATAATAGGAATCCTTATGTTTTTCTGTTTCACAGTTGTTCACCATGCTGTGCCTCTTACAAACTTCCAATATCGCCAAAAAAGTCTGTTATTTTTCATAACAGCTTTTTTTAAAGCAGCTTTACTTGAATTATGGAATCAAGGATAGTTAAGGAGGGTGTCATATCTAAAATAAAAAATGATAGTACATGTGTTATATGAAGATTGGTATGTTAAAATGGAAAAAGCAAGAAGAAACTGCTCAGCTGGGCTGGAATGCTCCCCGCTTGTGGCTAGGCGTAGGGGACCCAGGCAGGTCATAGCTGCCCTTATGGTGCAAGTAGCGGACTGCTCCAGCCTGGCAGGGCTGTAGTGCCCTCTGCCCATGGTGCAGTAGGCCCAGGCTGGGTTGAAACAGCTCCCAGCTCACTATGTGCCACAGGCAGGGGCCTATTTCAACTGGGCCGGGCACCGGTTAACCAGGTAAGCATGCTGGTAAGGCAATTCTTGCAGGTTAATTGGTTAAACCTTTACTGGCCCTAGTCTAAGGTAAGGATGTTAAATATTGGTTAATTGAATAGTCGATTGACCCAATGAATTCTTATCAGTTACTCGACTATTCTGTAGTTCCTGGGGGGTAGGGCTGGAAGTCAGTGCACTCTGGCCCCAGTCCCGAGGAGCCCCCTGACACTCTGTGCTGCTGCCTCTGTATCAGAGGCAGCAGCGCAGGATGCCAGATGGGAGCTGGGCTGCAAGGGGAGCCGGTCTGCAAGGGGAGCCAGTTTAAAAAACAGCTCCCCTCATGGACTGGCTGCCTCAGAGGCAGCAGTGTGGGGTGGCAGCAGCCCCTGTCCGGGGGCGGGGGGACGCTAAGCTCCCGGACCCGGCGCGAGCTGGAACTGAGTCAGGCTGCCTGCCCACTAGGCTCCTAATACACCTTAAATGCAGAGCCGCAGCAGGGGTAGGTCCCAGACCTAGCGTGAGCCAGGCTGCTGTCCAGCCTGCTAACAATTTACTGGCCGGGGGGGAGGAAATGTGTGTAGCATTAACTTATAAGCTTTTGTTTACTGGTTAATCGATTGCACTGTTACATCCCTAGTCTAAGGATTAGTCTACACTTGAAAGTTAGGTTGGCTTAACTATATCACTCAGTTCTGTGTGGTGTAATTAAGACAAATGAAGCCCTGTTTTAGTCTTCCATTGACATAGCTATCACTTCTCAGAAAAGTAGATTTGCTATTGTGACCAAGAACCCCTTCCTTCACTGTAGTGCAGGGGTGGGGAATCTAAAGCTCTGGGGGCCGGATGTGGCCCTCAGTTTGCCTGGATCCAGCCTCCAGCTTGCCTGGATCTGGTCCCAGTGCTCATGCTCCAGAGTCCCCCCGCCCCGCCACCCAAGGCTGGAAAACACAAAATCTACCAGAAGGTCCCCCCTCCCCCCAGCACAGGTGTGTGAAGAGAATGTGGAGAGTGGACGTCTCAGTTAGGGGCCACGTCAGTGAGGGTTTGGGGTTTTTTTTTTTGCTTCTCATTTGTGTGTGTGGCCTCTGATTTTTCTGGGGGTCAGTGGCCTCTGACTCAAAAAAGGTTGTCCACCCCTGCTGAAGTATGTATTTACAGTATTACAGGGGAGATGCTGCAGCACTGCACCTGTACCACAGAAGGATTTCTAGAGTAGGCAAACCCTAAGTTAAGGTAGTACGTGGTTTGTCCTTTTCACAAATGAAAACAACAGTCTTATTTCTGTCCTTTATCCATGTCACTCTTCCA